CTAAAAGGAGGACTGAAGTTGTGGTCACATTATTATTCAAACTTTTGTCAAAGCGCAAAGGCAAAAATCCTTTGGGTAGGCGACACTTTACTGCCATTTTTTAATTCTCAGTGTGTAACTAGAATCGGATAAGAATATGCTATATAAATTCCACTAAAAGATAGGCATAAAGATTGGTTTTCCTGTTGTAATAATTCCTTTAAAAAATATTCAGTGAGGTAATAAATGTATAACTAGATTATGCTTATTTTAATCCCTTCATTTTAGCTTTCTGTTGTCAAATTAGACACAGTTTGCTGAAGATTAGATAGTCAAATATATCTATTTTAAACCAGATTAGAGCTGGCCTCTGTTCTATTTCCTGATACGGATTAGAAGGTTTGATATATGGCTGGATATTTTATCGTGCTCAAAATGCTAATTTTACCCATAATATTTTAATTTTCATAATTCCATTTCTACTTCAAGTTTAATTCCCAATCAGTAAGACACCACTTTCTCTATTTACTGTACTTTTGATACATTGTCCATCTTAAATTTTCTCACTGCTTGATCTGCTGGCCGTCTTTAATTTCTGTGTTGACTATGTCATTCCATGATTTTAAAACCTGCCTCTGGATAAATACTTCTAAAGTTGGCATATGCACCTATGAATTGAGTATGCACTAAGCCATTTCCCTGCTGCTTGATTTTGTACTCAAAGAGTGAACAAAACATTTTTAAATGTTCTAATCTCGCCCTAGTTTTACACCCCATCTGGTCTTTTGGGACATAAATAGAAATGTCAGTAATTCAACAGGTTGTCTGGGGTTGTTCTGTGTCAGTTTTTACCTTCCATCCGAAATGATGCATGTGACTGGGTATTTATGAACCTGTGTAGACTACCTTGGCTCAGTGTCCCTAAAGTAGTCACCCCTCCAAAAAAAAAGTTGATTCTTTAGTTACTAAGCTTTTTTTCATGAAAGTTTTCACAGCTAAACCCATAAACAACATCATGATAAATGGTGAAGAAATTGAAGTTGTAAAATATTTCATTCTACTTGGATCAACAATCAACGCCCTTGAAACAGCAGTCAAGAAATCAAAGAACGTATCGCATTGGGCAAATCCTTGGCAAAAGACCTCTTTAAAATCTTAAAAAGCAAAAATATCACTTTGATGACTAGGTGCACCTGATACAGGCCATGTCATTTCCAATTGCCTTATATGCATGTGAAAGCTGGACAATGAATAAGGAAGCACAAAGAAGAATTGATACCTTTGATACATGGTATTGGCAAAGAATATTGAATATACCATGGACTGTCAAAAGAAGGAGCAAATCTGTCTTGTAGGAGGTACAGCCAGAATGCTCCTTAGAAGCAAGAATGGTGAGATTTCATCTCACTTACTTTGGACACGTCATTAGGAGGGACCGATCACTGGAGAAGGACATCATACTTGGTAAAGTAGTTGTTGTTGTTAGATGCTATCGAGTTGATTCCGATTCATAGCGACCCCGTGTACAACAGAATGAAATACTGCCCGATCTTGAGCCATCCTCACAATCGTTGTTATGCTTGAGCCCATTGTTGCAGCCACTGTGTCAATCCATTTCTCTGAGGGTCTTCCTCTTTTTCGCTGACCCTCTACTTTACCAAGCATGATTTCCTTCTCCACGGACTGATCCCTCCTGATAACATGTCCAAAGTATGTGAGACGAAGTCTTGTCATCCTTGCTTCTAAGGAGCATTCTGGCTGTACTTCTTCCGAGACAGATTTGTTCGCCCTTCTGGCAATCCATGGTATATCAATATTCTTCGCCAACATCATAATTCAAAGGCATCAGTTCAAAGGGTCAGTGAAAAAGGAGGAGACTTTCAATAAGATAAATTGACACAGTGACTGCAACAATGAACTCAAATATAGCAATGATTGTTAGGCTGGCCCAGGACCAGGCAATGTTTCCTTCTGTTATAAATATGGTCATTATGACTTGGAGCCAACTCAACAGCACTTAATGATAACAACGGTAAAATCTGTTGCCGTCAAGTCAATTCTGACTCACAGCAACCCTACAGGACGGAGTAGAACTGCCCCACCCCATCGGGTTTCCAAGGAGCAACTGGTGGATTTGAACTGCCAGCCTTTTGGTTAGCAGCCAGATCACTTAACCACTGTGCTACCAAGGCTCCACAACAACAGTATAGCTTATATATACTAGTAGTGAAGCTCTTTTTTAAATTAGATTTATGGGTCGTGTTAAAGAATGAAACAGCAATGGATGAGGAAACAAATCCGACGTTGATAATGTGTAACCTACTGAATGGTCACCTATTACCAGTCACCTAAATGTGAAGGCCAGTATTTCAGAACTAAGGATTTAGGAGAGCTACTTCTGTTTCTTTCCTTCCTCCCTCTCTTTCTTTCTTTTTCTTGCTTCCAGAGTTACTTCTGATCAAAAATATTTACTAGACTTTAGAGGAAAAAGAAATAAAAACTTGCTTATTTGTGAGTGACTGTTAGGCGAAGAGCAATATTTGACGTGTTTTAATGTCTAAAAAATGTTTCAAAATTGATTGTAAAGAGTTGTTCCAATACTAAAGAGAAGCTATTTATTGTATATGATACTAGAATGACCTGGATATAACTATAGACTGGGATACTCCTTACTTGACTGCTGATGTGCCGCTAGTAAATAGACTTGGACTATGTAATATGAATCTCATTACTCACTTAAAAATGATTCCAAATTGCAGTTGATTTGTTAAAGATTTTTCTTTCGTTACAGGCATGAAAATGATACTTTCTTCTGTGTTTTGCTACCTCATCCCCTTCCTGAAGTATTGCACATTTCTACCTGTTTTTATTCATTCTCTTCCAACCTAAGTTGAACAAATTTAATATGAACCTATTTTTTCCAAGAAGAATTGGAATACTTTAAACATTATCAGATTGTTAGCTCTTGGCAAACCAAGAGAAGTGAATGCTTTAAGAGTTGAATTTAAATTCCAATTCTACCTCTTCCAATGTCACTTTGGACACAGTCCCTACCATTTCTGAGCCTTAGTTTGCTCACCTGTAGAATTATGATAATAATAACGATTGCCTTGCTGGGTAAACGTGAGAAAAATATTAGCTGGTAAATCGGCCTTACTTTATGTTGTTCCTTCTCCAGTGTTTTTTCCATTATTAGTGAAATGATTTTCTTGAATGTCTTTACATTTTATTGATTACTTCGAAGTTTTTCTTCATTACAGCTCTTAAGCGTTAGTCCTTCCTTTTTTACCGAATTCTGGATTTTGAAAACTGCATTTATCTTTAATACATAAGTAGATACGTCTGCTTGTAATTTTCTCTGTATTTACACTTAAGTATAGTAGTCCAAGTAAGCATTATCTTTAATTTTCCCAACCTAGGAAACAAGTATATATTAGGTGAAAAGTAAAAATAAGTTACTCTTATCTATTAGAAACAGTAGAATATCAATACAAAGTCAAGCTTTTTGCTTATGTTGGGGGAATAATTTATAGGGTGGCTGTGAGTCGGAATTGATTCGACGGCAATGGGGATTGGTATGTTGGAGCCCTGGTGGCACAGTGGTTAAGAGCTAGGCTGCTAACCAAAATGTTGGCAATTGGAATCCACGAGCTGCTCTTTGGAAACTCTATGGGGCCATTCTACTCTGTCTTATAGGGTCACTATGAGTAGAAATTGACTCAAGGCCAATGTTGTTTTTTAATTGGTATGTTTAATTTATTCTTTCCTATCCAATTTAATTGCATGGATTCATGCAAAGGCTAATGACTTTGGTGTTTTATATAAACTACAAAAATGAATTAAAATGTTTTAGACCCAGTACTCAAATACATTTTTAAAAAGCCACAAAACCATAGCAAATAACTCTAAATTATTTTGATTTTGCTTTTCTTCTAAATTATCAGCTTTAACTTATCTATACACAGATTAATGTGATATCAGAAATATTGATTATTTGGACTGTTTTTGGTATGGTGAACTCTGCTAGACTGTTAGATTGAATTGTGAGAGTTGAAGTGGGTTTTATCTGATTTGATTTCTTACAAACATCAATAATCTGTTTTGCATGCATAACACAATTGGAGATAATCATTTGATAACTAATATATCTCTTGTGCAATGGTTTGGCCATTTAATTGGTTTAAAAACCACTTAGTTTGTTGCATTTTTTAGACTATATGGGCTTCTTCTTTAGTGAAGCTATAAATGAATGTATGGATGATATGACATACAATTACAAGCATTTTATATGATTGTAATAATTATAATAGCAACTATGAAAAATCATTGGCTTGTATATGTACCAATCACCATTCTAAGAATTATATCTGATTATCTCTGTGATGCGGGTGCTGTTGACTGATGGATGCTAATTACATTGACAAAGATCACACTACTAGTCGTGCCAGAGGTTAAATTAAACCAAAGTATGTTTAATCCAAAATGTTTGCTCCTATCTACTACACTGTTCTGTCTCATATCAAGATACTATTTTGGCACACTGATAAAGTTTCAATAACTTTTGATAAACTTCTATTGTATCAGCATTGATACGCTGTTAACTTTGATTAATTTTGCATGTTTGTCCACAGGTTCCCATATTCAGTTTCTGAATTTTTCTACTGAAGCTAATCATGACTACCTTGAAATTCAGAATGGACCGTATCACACCAGTCCTCTGATTGGGCAGTTCAGTGGCTCGGATCTACCCTCAGCACTGCTGAGTACAACCCATGAAACGCTCATCCACTTCTACAGTGATCATTCGCAAAACCGGCAAGGATTTAAACTTGCTTATCAAGGTAAGACTTACACGACTGAAATCATTTTT